AGCATGGGCTCGGCCCTTGGACTTGCGCTTCACGTTGCTTGCAAATCCGCAAACCATGGCTGCAAAATAAAAACAGGGGTCAACACAAGGTTAGAGGAAAAAGGGGGGAAGCAAGCTCGGCATACCAAGTTCAGAGTTCGGCCTTGAGGATTCAATGGGACGAACTGTGGGGTTGTAATCTAACAGCCCGGACTCAAGCAGCAGCTTGTCGGTCACCAAGGTTCCGACCTTCCTACCCATCGGAAAGCGCTCCTTGTAATATTTCAACGTGTCGAAGGAGGCTTGCGTAAGCTCGGGGACTGGTCGGATTGAAACTGCATAAAGACAAAATTTGAGTTAGACCTGAATGACAGAAAAGAAAATCACAAAAAGTAAGAACTACTCCGTACCTAGGTTCCCAAACCTAGTGGGGACGTCAAAGAAGGAACGACCTGACTCGTCCTTTGCAAGCCATTCCCCAGAAGCGTAGAACCACTTSCTCACCCATCCCTTGATGGAGGTCGGCCCCTTAACTATACCGCCTGCGCCTTTCCTTGCGCACATATAGAACCGACCAGGCTTCTTAGCTATCCTTTTCGCTTCGAAGCACGCGAGGAGCTGGTCTACGTCTAACAGCTCGGCCTCTTCACTATCCCGAGCTCGTATCCAAAAAAGGATGGCCAAAGCGAAAATGACACCCCACCCATTGGGGGCCACTTGAGCCGGAGCCAGCCTAGTTCGGAAAAGAAACTCTTGGACGAAAGGGTGAAGGGGAAGTCTGAGGCCGTACTCAAACATTTTGAAGTAGAGAGTGACCCATCCCTCTGGAGGATTGTCAGCTCTCTCCCTCTCCTCCGGAATCCTGAGGAGGATGTTCTCAGGGATAGCGAATCCCTTAAGAAGGGATCCGAGGTAGTGCTCGGGTATCCTAGAAGGGTATTCCAAACCCTGACCCGAGGTGGAGGCATCACTATCCTCCCCGTCATCGGAGAACCTAAAGTTTTCTATCTCCTCGAGCTCGGACTCTAACCTACGAGCTAAATCTTCATCGGATCCTAGGTTGCTGCTAAAAGAGGACGACATGGCAACTACGTTCGAAAGAGAAAGTGAGGGAAGAGACCGACCTACCAAGGGTTCGAGCTACCTTCAGATCGAACTCCAGGAATTCAGGGAACGTAAGGTATGACCTGAAGGATTGGGGGTATTTATAGCTCGTTGGAAAAATTTCCCCACCGTACACGTGTAATCAACGAGCGGCTAGGATCCTCCCTAAGATCCGAAACGTCGGAATATTTGAATATTCCGACGATAAATCTACCACAACGGTTATATTTTCCCACAAATAGGAAGCCGCCACGCGTCCAAAGCAAGTCGAATGAACTTCTCTGCCAGGTCGAGATCGGACCAGACAGAGAGGGGGCCAATGT